TCTCTCTCTCTCTCTCTCTCTCTCTCTCTCTCTCTCTCTCTCTCTCTCTCTCTCTCTGTGTGTGTGTGTGTGTGTGTCCCTCGTCTTTCTCCCTTGTCTTCCCTCTATACACCCGAAGACCACCACTGCGCCTTGCTGTTTGTCCAAGCCCAGCCAGTTATGGAACCTGGGCTATGGCGCTGCCCTCAGCAGCGCCATTCTTCCCACGCGACCGCACGTGCACAGCACCTTGCCCCTAGCGCTAGCAGCAGCACGGGAGCGTCCGCTCTAGCAGCACTGCCGCAAACTGGCAAGTGCCTGAATGAGTTCCCAGGCAGCGGGCTCATTCCTATATGGAAAGAGTCTGGCCTGGCTTGCGGCCTGGCTGGGCTGGGCCTGCGCCCAGAAGCTTCCAGTAGGCCCCAGGTAGCTGGGCCTCTGCTGCTGCTGCTGAGCCTCGTTCAGTTACGCCTCCCAACTGTCTGTGTATGTCGCTGCGAATATGGCCCATGGCCTGCATTTCAGAAAAGGCCTAGAAGGCCGTGGAAAGTATTTGCTGCTCGGGTCCTGGGTTCCCTCAACCAACTGACGCGACACAACTGCCTGAATCCCAGATACAAAATTGACAGCATTGGGCCTCTCATGATTTGTTAGGCCCGCCTTCACTTAGGGTGGGCACACTTGCATTAGGGCCCCTTAGGCCTGCCGAGGACCTTTATCCTCGCAGCTGCCTTTATCTGACTTAGGCTGCATTTATCTGCCATTTAGGCTCCCTCGATCTTTCACTTTATCTGCCACTTAATCGTTGGCTGCCTTTACCGGCTACTAGGCTGACTGAACCTGCCACTAAGATTGTGTTCATCTACCCTTAGGCTGCATTAATCTGAGTTAGGCTGGTTTTATCTGCCACTTAGGCTTCCTCCATCTTTCACTTGATGTGCTACTTAATCTTCCACTTTATCTGCTACTTTATCTTCCACTTTATCTGCTACTTTATATTCCACTTTATCTGCCACTTGATGGTAGGATGCCTTTATCAGCCGTCCCTCGGGACATCCGTTAAAAAATTGGAACGATACAGAGAAGATTAACATGGCCACTGTGCAAAGGATGAGACGGATAAATCAAAAAATGGTCGAAAGTTTTCAAAAAAAATGGATGCCTTTACCAGCCATTAGGCTGACTTAATCTGCCACTAGGGCTACGTTCATCTGGCAATTAGGCTGCATTAATATGGTACTTAGGTTCCCTTTATGTGCCAGTTAGGCTGGGTTTATCTGCCACTTAGCACATAGGCTCTCTTTATCTGCCACTTAGGCTGGCCTCAACCCAAAAACAAAAAAAAGGTTGGCCTCAATCTGCCCTTATTTGAGCCAGTGTCGCGAGAGGACCACCATGATGGCGAAAGATTGTCTGAAAAATCCGCATTATTATTAAATGAATAAAAATTGAAAACAAATACTACATTATTAAATTACTGATTTATTATTGAACTGGTCATGGAAATCTTGGATGCCAAGATAAGTATATGCATACTCTGTTTACGATATATATTATACAAACTGTTTGAAGATATATAGATAATAGATATTGATATCTATATATATAGGGTTCAGCCTCCTGATGAGTCGGTGAAACTCTGACGAAACAGTTTGTCACAGCCCCTCGTTTGTTGTTCTCTTCTCCCTCTCTGCCTACGGTTTACCGGGCAGCTCTTTTTGACGATATATTTGACTGTATATTATAATTATTATTATCATATATATTTTATCATATATATTTTATCATATATATTTTATCATATATCGTCACAAATAGAACTGCCCGGTAAACCGTAGGCAGAGAGAGAGAAGAGGACAACAAACGAGGGGCTGTGACAAACTGTTTCGTCGGAGTTTCACCGACTCATCAGGAGGCATATATATTTTGAAGATATATATATTGTCCTCTTCTCCCTCTCTGCCTACGGTTTGGGCAGCTCTGTTTGACGATATATATATTGTCACAAAGTTGTCAGAGCGCAAAAGCAAAAGGAAAACAGAAAACAAAGAAAAATAAATTCATTTTTTTAATCTTCTTCCTTACAACTCCCCCTGTTCAGAACCTCTTGCGTACAAGGTCGCCCACGTGCATGTATATATTCTATTATTCTTTAATTCAACTGAGAAATGACTGCAGTCACTGTGAGAGAAACTCCCAATAACAGATGAAATAGTAAATAATACCTTCTTTACCTACGACGACATCGTGCAAAGGCGCTCTGGCTGCAGAGTTACCTGGAGAGTTACGAACATCGCATGGCCCATATGAAGAGCTCCTGTGACATTAGGTGGAGGCATAGCCATTGTGAAAGGGCGTTCCTTACTGTCCTCAGCAGGTTTGAAGTACCCATTTGACTCCCACCTGGGAAATTAATCACATCACACCACAGAGTAATGTGTGCGCACAATTATTCTCAATTACACTCTACTATACTCGATTATGCTCAATTACACTCAATTGCAAGGAAAATGAGAGAGAGCGAAATGACAGAAATCCAGAATGCAAAATCACATTGAAAGCCAGCAAGTCCAACGGTGTAAGAAAGCAGAAACGCACCAACGGAGAACCAAAGCACTGAATCGGAATGTCACTGAGAGCATATTCTCGCCACCACCAACATATGTATCCAGAGTCCTTCCTCCTACTTGGCGCTCAGCGCCCAGACTACTACTACACAGCTACTAGCAGCCTACAAATTGACAATGCATCCCGTTGACGTCACCAGCAGAACCGAAGTACATGAAGATGTCGACCCTTGTAGACCATTGCCAAGACCAGGTACGTGCCTTCACATCATCAACCTCATCTCTCTCTCTCTCTCTCTCTCTCTCTCTCTCTCTCTCTCTCTCTCTCTCT